AATATGAAAATCTAAGACAATCATAAGCAAAGGACACTTTAACATTTAAAAAGTAAGAAGCACTTGATCTTAAGAAAGGGCTTTCCTATACACTGATTATATTAGCTTGATGAAACCACCTACATGGTCTTTAATCATTTCTTCTCAGTCTGGCAAAGCATTGCCATGACCCAGCCAAGGATTGGGTCCTAAACCACTCACTAACCAATCAGTTAGAAAGCAGTGAACTAGATGTTCCAGCCTGTTTCGCTGAGGCTAGAGGATTGAACTAGTGGCTCAGCCAGCATGAAAGCAAAGCAGGAGCCCATGCAGGGGTTGGCTTAGATTAGCACGGCTTTTGATAGAGGGGCACGTGTATGTTTGGGTTTGCTGTCCTGGGCAAGGGAGTTGTGGAGTTTGTCTGAGTTGAGCTCACACATTGAAGTTATTGAGCGTCTTACATGCAAGGCCATGACCTAGACTCCCAGCTGAGAGGCACACGTGGCGGAGCTTGAGCTGGGGGAGTCGAGGACAGCTCACATCTGCTCATCTGCTTATGTAACCCTGCTTCCTAGCTCCTAGAGCCAAGAAAACACACAAGGCATCCCAGCAAGGCTGAGGGCCTGTGGTCGCACACACCATGCGCCACACAGCAAGGGCACCTTGGCCCAGCTTGAGGATTGGCACATAGCTCTCAGCTCTGTGCTTCCTCCTGTTGCCACTCCCTGTGGCCCCAGGCAGTGGCGCTGAGACCTAGTATTGGGGCTGCGCGACTCTGAACTGTGTTGATAGTTGCCCTCTTAGAGTCTGAACTCTGGGTTTTCTTAGTGGGACTAAGCTAGGTGTGTGCTGGAGGTTAGCCCCTGCAGCTTGGCAGGAGGTGTGCAGGGCATTCACTGGACCCTAGAAGGCATTCAACTGCAGATCTGGTGCTGCTGTGTGCTCTTCAGTCTCCGAAATGTGAGCTGCAGGATTCCCAAAGTTGTGGAGGTGTCAGTGAGAGAAGGTGGGGAAAGAATTGCCGGATTGGGCAAGGAGGGTGAATTGGGGGTCAGGCGCTCCTCTCATGTTGGAGGCATGATGGGGGTTGTGAGAGAAGTGTAGAGCAGAACAGGAAATTGAGAAGAGCTGCTAATGATAAAACTGCACAGAGCCATTGGAGGAAGAAGTTTCTTGACCAGCTGTGAACCAGGGCAGTTTTCATTCAGGTTCTGCTACATGTTCCACAGGGAGCTCCTGGGAGGCTGGAACTGTCTTGTCCCTCCTCCTTACCTCCTTCAACCCACACATCACAGGGAGAGTTTGTATGTTTGTATATATTTTAGAATAAAGACTCTGGTTTCATAATTGGTATGCTCCCATGGGTTGTCAGCATGCTGTTGGCACTGTGTGTGTGTGTGTGTGTGTGTGTGTGTGTGTGTGTGTGAGAGAGAGAGAGAGAGAGAGAGAGAGAGAGAGAGAGAGAGAGAGAGAGAGAGAGAGAGAGAGAAAGAGAGAGAGACTGACTGACTGACTGACTTAGTTTAGGGAGAGAGGAGAGGAAATGGAATATGGACCACCCAGGTTTTTATCAATGGGTTTAAATAAGAGTTCACTTGGGGCATGCTAGCCATGTCCTATTTATTGACTGTGTGGTCAGAAGAAAATGTGGGATGGAGACAGAGGGGAACTGTCATTGTTTAAAGCAGAGACCTGAGTTCAAAATGGGAGAATGTCTAAGAACAGTGAGAAGTCAACAAAGATGGACATCAAGGAAAGAGGTGAAGAAAGCAAGGTAGGAGGAGATGTGGGTGAGTGTGATGGTCTCCCCTACAGGGCATTCTTTTCTTCCTGTCTGCATGGTTATTCATGCCCTTTTGGGTGCAGAGAAAGTGAGAGCAAGGATTCTCAGATTTTGGTTCAGGTCCCCGTTTTCCTTCTAGTAGAATGAGTATCTGAGCATGCTAGATCTTTGTGAGACTTTAGAGTTCATCTAATTCAATTCCTGCAATTTACAAGTAGGGAACACAGTATCCTGAGGGTGGATGGAACTTGTCCAAGGATCATCCAGCAAGTCACTGGTAGAGCTGTAGCAGAGCTCAGGCATCTCTTCCCTTGTCTGAGGCTTTTTACCTCAGTAAAAGCAACACTAGAAGCAACACTAGGACATTTTCCAGTGTGCAGGTGTCTGCTTCGGGAAGTCTATGTGGGCCATGTGTGAATTCCTGTCATCTGGGTTAAGGTTTCAGAAGGTATGCGTGGCAGTCCAGATGCTTCTTGGGTTCCCGAAAATGGGGTTATGTTTAGCAGTGTCTTCAGAATCAAAGGTGGGGTGGGTTGCAGATGTAGGGCTCTCCAAAGTGAGAAGGGCTCAGTGATGGGTCTTTTTTTGTGTGTTTTTCACAAGTTCATTGTGCCACAGGGTCTCTCAAAGGTCTGTTCCAGGGTTGGGATGTTGAGCAGCCTAAGCCTGATGGACCTTATAGGGAAGGGCGGAAGTGAAGGGAATCCCCGAGGACCCTCCTTGCCCTAAAGCCCTAAGGTTTGTGAAGATGAGCCACCCTGCTCCCTTCTGCTTAACTTGCCCAGGAAAAATCACCTGGTTTCCTTATTAATTATCCACTTAGGTGCCTCCCAAGATCTGCTGAGTTGGACTGTCCAAGGTAGGGACCTGAGATTCCATGTTTGTACCAGTTGCCTCAGTAGATTCTGATGATAGGATTGGGAAAAACTGGTTCAGGGTGACCATTGACTTAGTCCTGGAGCATTGTACCTGCTCACTTGAGGGCATCCTTGAAGGTGGGAACTGGATTAGGTGGGAACTGGATTAGGGGCATTCTTACGAGGGACAGATCTGCAAGGTCCCTGACCTCCAAGAAGGGAGGTCATTGCCAGGAAGGAAGCAGAGTGTCTGGAGTTTTGAGGATCCCCTTTCCTTTCTTAGGGAGTCTGCTGTCTGAACCCTGTGGTCACAAAGAGTCAAAGGGTACAGCTCGACTGAGGCCCAACTTTCAATGGAAAAGTTTGCTGGTTCAAGGACAGAGAGAGAAAAGGGTATGTCTGGCAAAGTAGAAGGTGTGGACATCGCTTTGGTGTATAGTTGTGAAGAGTGGGCAGACAGCTAACTGGAGAACCTGGTTGCCTAGCTATGGGGTTTGGCTTTACCTTATACAAGGCCGCACAGCCTAGATCTATTGGAGGCTTTTAGCAGAAAGGTGATGTGATCACAGCTGTGTCTTAGAGGAAAGTGAAAGAATGGGAACAGGTTCTGGGATGAAAGCACTGGGTCAGTGATGATGAAAGGAAGGTGTAGGAAGGTCCTGGGGAAAGAAGAGAAAGTGACAGCTGCAGAGCCACACTTGCTGCCAGATAAAGGAGCAGGGTCAAGGCTTCCTTGTCTCAGGCTGTTCTGTTTCAAGAAGAGGAGTGCTCCCTGGTGCGGGGGGAGCCACATGTTCTTGATAAACAGAATGGATTGGGACCTGGACACTGGGTCTGGGCAGAGATGGGTGGTTCTCACCAATTTGTTTCAGGTAAACTTTGATCTGAGCTTGTGCTTATTAGCCTTCCCATCTATTCTGTTGGTCCCTTTCTTGGTTCTGGTGACTAGTTTGCTTCACAAGTAAAGCTGGTTATACTATAAGAATGGTTCCCAAAATGTGTCCCCTAACAAAATGGTTCTGTGATCAACAAGTTTGGGAAATAGATAAAGTTAACCTGTTTCTCAGCACCTTTGCTATGTATCATGCTTTTCCAGATGTAGAATTTAGTTGTGCAGGGCTCCCACCCTGACTTGACAAGAGAGTATGTTTTTCCATTTAGCATCTTGCTGGATCTCATGTCTCCTGGAACCCATTTGGAGAAAGTCCGAAGTACAGGGAGCTCTAAAAACCTAGGTTTAAGTCTTAGCTCTGTTCCTTACTCCCTATGCCTGGACCACTCCATGTGTGCCACGTGCCCTGTAACTGGATCTTGACCTTCCCCCTTATTCATAACCTGTTAGTATCTCAAAATCTATTGTCCGCATCTCATCAGTTTTCTTCTGAGCCAAGAGCTCTATTACTGACTCATTTCTCTAATCTGGATTCATGTTCTGCTTGGCCAGAAATGGAATCATCCTTCTTGATCTCCTTGGTTGCTTTATCCCCCTACTCTTCCTAGGCATTGTTTTTAAAAGCAGAACTGGGGGTTTGAAGTCAGGGCCTTGTGTTTGCTAGTCAGGTGCTCTATCCACTGAACCATGTCCCCAGCCTCTTACCAGCCCATACTAAGCTTTTCATTTTTTCTCAACTGGGGCTTGATCTCAAGGCCTCATGTTTATTAGACAGGTTCTCTACCACTTGAGCCACTCCACCAGCCCAGCATTTTTTATGCTCTTTCCAGATGTTTCTCTCCCCCACCCAACCCCAGTCTCTTTTGCTGGGGTCTCATTGCTTCCGTTCCTTCCCATCAAGTTTGGTTCACCTCTGCATCAGGTCCCTTCTACTCCCTATTACCTTCTGATTTGAAGCTGATTTCCTCCATCTACCCTGACCTCCCCACATTGATGCCACCCCCACATCCCTTTCCCCAATTAGGAAATATTCAAATACTATGTCAGTTTTTTGTTTAAGACCATACTTCTGTGGGTGGCAGAGCTAAGTCTCAACTTTAGGATTTCCAAGAAAGTGCTTCCTTATCTGTGCTCACTGATCTTTACAACAGCCTGTTGGTAAGTCCGAGTAGAAATTATTTCCATTTTACAGTGGAGCCTGAGGGGGAAGGTCCTGGGCAAGGAAGTGCTTTATAGGTTAACCTTTGGGTTTGTCCAGCACTAATGGGTTCCTGGGATGCAGGACTTTTAGTGCTGAGAGGTTTTCTGAGGTGATTGGTTACCCTAGTGCTGGACATGGTACCCAGTGCTGGACATGTGTATCCTTTCCCCAGCCATCCCTCCCCCAAGGAGGAGATGTTTCCTCTGCTTCTAGGTCCTGCTTTTCTGATGCAGTCTGGATCGGTGTGTCCTGTGACTTGTTAACTTCTTCTTTCTTCCACCTCTTTAGTTGGCCCCATGCTGATTGAGTTTAATATTCCTGTGGATCTGGAGCTTTTGGCAAAACAGAACCCAGAGGTGAAGATGGGTGGCCGTTACTCCCCCAAGGACTGCATCTCTCCTCATAAGGTGGCCATCATTATTCCATTCCGCAATCGGCAGGAGCACCTCAAGTATTGGCTGTATTACTTGCATCCAATCCTGCAGCGCCAGCAGTTGGACTATGGCATCTATGTTATCAACCAGGTGAGGTCTGGGAAGATGGAGTGAGGGGGGGAGAGTATGTGTGTGCAAATATGTGCATGATGAGTGGTAGGGGGAGGAGAGTGACTTCATGGATACATGGCATTTTACAGTGAGGAGCCAGCCCTACCACCACTACATCCTTACTTAAACATTTAGGTAAACTAAATGCCAAACAATGTGCTTGCTTATTGATGTCATCTGTTAGCCAAGAGAAATTGCTGGGATATGTTTTTGTTTTTTGCCTTCCACCAAAATTGAGAGAAAAAGACAGCCCTAATTAGCCTAAAGTAAGACACTGATTATTTCCTGTCTTCTGGTAGCTGTGTATTTTCCTTGTTACTTTTAAAAGAATGAACTACCCATTTAGAGGTCAGACTTTTAGGCAACTTCAAAATTTGTCCAGTCAGACAGCATCTTCTGGGGCACCCACAGGAGACAATGTGCTGAGTTGAGGCTGCATGCCTGGATGCCAGCCCCTGGTGAAATGTCTGGGAAAGTCTGATTCAGGGGCCATCTGAGAGTCATGTGGACTGGGCTGAATCTGGGAAAAGTTTCCCACTGCATATCTGATCCATGTGTGTGTCAGGCTTTTGCTCTGCTTAGGAAACTAGTAATAAAGACTTGTCAGCCTTCATCACCACAGTCTGGAGAATCAGACAATTCTAAGAGGCATTTTTACGGAAATAACTTGGTTTATTTTAGTCTACTTGAGGAACATTATTATTTTTCCAAGAACATAACTTTGGTCTTTCAAGTTTATCCCAAATACTTAAATTCATGCCTTTCAACTGTAACTTCTTAAGTACAGTGACATATCTGACTTACCTGTATTCTAAATTTCATTGGAAATCATTTGAAGAGACAAAGAATGTCCATTTCTACAAGGCCCAAATGAACTTATCATTTCAAGATAAACTCTGAGTCTGCTGGAGATAGAAAGATTATTGGCAGTTTACTGCTTCCATCAGAGTTGAAGGGCTTTGCATGCCTTTCCTTGGTCCACAAGGGAAGCCAGAAATAGCAGTCTGTCCATTCAGCACACTGAGGACTGCTATGGCATGCTCTGTCTGTTACTGCGGGGAGGTGCTAAAGAATTCCTAGGTCTCAGTCCCGTCTGTTCTAAAGCTTGCAACTGATTTTTGGCAAGTGGGACTTTCCCAGGCAACATCCTTTATTTTGTTGGTGCCCCTCACCATGAACAGATAAGCATGAGCAGATAGGATGCTTACTTCAACAGGCATTTGTTTAAGGAAGGCCCAGTTATCAAGACATTAAGAAACAATTGTCTGCTGGGGAGTTGGATCAAATGGTACAGTACCTACTTAGCAAGTACAGCCCTGAGTTCAAACCCCAATACTGCCAAAAAAAAAAAAAAAAGCCCCCCAGAAGAAACACTCAAAACAAAAAAACTCTTGCCTGTTGCCATTGAGCACATGTTGGTCATGGCAAGATTCAAGAGCCTGTTCGTTATTAGAGCAGTGGCAGTGAGCACCTAGAAGATGAAGCCACTAGCACCAGGGGCCAGCAAGGGTTACTAGGAATAAGCAATGCCAGCAGCACCTGTTTTTCTCTGACAGTTGTTTTACTAGTAGCTCAGTGATACATGATAGAGTGTGATCAGATCTTATTCAGAAAGGCATCTGATGGCCTCTCATAGATCTGCCTGAGCAGAAGACAGACAGCTGTGGACTGCATGGCATGGAGTTAGATTAAAGTATATATTTGATAAAAAGAGTAAAAGAGAGTTGGTGATAATGCTGTTTTTTTAATTCAGGTGGCCATGTTCAAGGAAAACTGGAGGGGAAGATGCTAATATGGCTGTGTTGAATTTTTGGTGACTGTGAGACTTTCCCGTTTAAATAAAATTTAGCCATCAGCTTCAGTTCTTGTAAGATGATTTCTAGAGATACTTGCCCTGGTGAAGTAATAGGTTTCTTAATGTCCCACAACAGCTTCATGCTCCTTCCCAGCTCAATCCAGGATGGCAGGACAACTAACAAAGCCAACTTGGCCCAGTGGTACCACTGTGCTGGCGAACACTGAACACTGCCTGAGATGCTGCTACTTCCTGTCCTATTTGAAACTAGAGAGAACATTTGTCTGCTGGGGACTTGGTTCAAGTGGTAGAGTGCCTGCCTAGCAAGCACCAGGCCCTCAGTTCAAACTCTAGTACTGCCCACAAAAAAAGGAGGAAAAAAAAAAAGCCGAAGAAAAAAATAAATATTTTATTTTTAGTTTTTCAAACACGTATATGTCCTTTATTTTCCTTTTTTGGTCAGAACCACCCCCCACTATGTATGTTCTTTAGCTTCTTCATCTTTTTTTTTTTTTCTTTCCAGTTCTGGGGACTGAATTCCACGTCTTCTGCTTGCTAGGCAAGCACTCTGCCACTTGAGCCTCACCTAGTCCTTTTGCTTTTAGTGTTGTTTTTCAGATAGAGTTCCATGCTTTTTCCTGGGCTGCCCTCAGACCTTGGTCCTCCTACCTCTACCTCCCAAGTAGCTGGAATTGCAGGCATGCACCACCATGCCTAGCCACCTTTTTCTTTTCTTCAGAAGGTTAGCATTCCACTTTAGGAAGATATTGTTCTTTTTCTTCCTCTTTCCCAACTGATCCTCTAGCTTCCATTTCAACTCTACCCCGTTAGCCTTTAGGGAAAATGCAGAGTTCAGGTAAGTCAAGAAGTAGCTTGAAGTCTGCCCTACCTTTCTAGTAGAGAATATGATCTAACACATAATAAAGTGGTAATAGGAACCTGAAGCTTGAAAAGAAATAGTTGCTCCATCTAGAGCATACCCCACCTGCAAATTAGGAATTTCCTGTGTTACCTGCTTTATGCAGATGCAGCCCCTGGCTTTGACTTTTGTATATTATTTGTTGCTGAGCAAATAAACTTATGATCTACTAGCCTCAGTAGAATTCTCACTTCTCCCCATGCATCTTGCATCCTTTTGAACTCTTCTCCCTCTCCCATTTGAGGTTAGAGAGAAAGAATGCTTAAAGTAAGAGTGGCCTCTGGGAAATCTATTCCAGAATTCTAAAACAGGTTTTTCAGTGGAGAACTTTTTTCTATTTCATGGAAATGCTACACCGTCCTCGATTTATAGTAGGTTACAGTGATTCTATTTTCTTAAAGTGGTGTCATACCCCATCTCTATCTCCTTAGCTTCCCCTTCAGTGATTGCTAGGACTTGCCCAGATCCCCAGAGGCCAGACGGTGAAAATTTCTCATCTATATCATCTGAGAGGAAACTGACCCTCAGGAAAAGTGACCAGTAGAGAGTCACATAAATTATAGCAGGGCTGCAGATCAAACCCCAGCCTGACTGCAAGTTTAATGCCCTTCCGCTGTATCACAGTAGCTCTCATAGAGGCTATTTAGCCTCCCTGAGCATTTCTCAAAGCCTGATGTCTAGGGGTAGGAGTGAGCTCCATGCCCAGATCACCTGGGTTTAGACCTGGCTCTGCCATTTCCCAATCAGTGACCTTGGGTAGGCCACGTCAACTGTTCAGACTTCAGTTTCTTCCAAGGTAGAAGAGGAAATCACCATCTACCTCTCTGGGCTGCAAAACACCTGGTACATGATAAACCTTCAGTAAATATTAGCTGTTGCTGCCATGATTTGTGTCCTTCCTCTCTACCCTCCATTCTTCCTGGATACTTTGGTAATAAATTTTTTTTAATTTATTTATTTTAGTGGGATTGGGGCTTGAACTCAAGGCTTCATGCTTACAAAGTGAGCACTCTACGTTTGAGCCATGCCTCCAGTCTGTTTTTGGTCTGGTTATTTTGGAGATGGGGTCTCATGAACTATTTGCCTGGGCTAGCCTCAAAACACAGTCTTCCAACTCAGTCTCCCAAGTAGCTAGGATTACAAGCATGAGCCACAGGCACCTGGCTGGTGATAAATTCTTTACTGTTCTTCCTTCCTCCTGCTTCACCCCAACACAGTATCAGCATCAGGACCCTTCCATTTGTTAGGGCCTTTATGGGATCAGGGGATAATGAATAGTGATGTGAATCAGGTGACAGGATCTCAGAGGACTCAGGGACCATGTCATGTCTCATAAGCTTCTCCAGAGGAGAGTTGTGTCTCAAGGCCCCCCCGCCCCAACAGGAGCAAATTCTCACAAGTTTTTATAGCTCAGATTCCTGTCTATAGGAAGCTGCTAACTATCCCTATGCAGTATAGGTCCTTCCAACCACTGTAACAATTTGTATCTCAAAATAAGTGTGTTGGGGCTGGCAGAGTGACTCAAGTGGTAGAGTGCCTCCCAGCAAGCACGAGGCCCTGAGTTTGAACACCAGTACCACACACAAAAAAAATGTGTTAGAGGGATGCATGAGAGGGACTTTACCATTTGAGATGCAGAAGAGCAAGTGAGGCTCTTTGTCCTCAGGGTCTCTATTCCTTTTCCTGCCTTAGCACACTACTATGTGGAGATCCTGTTAGGGTCCCAGTACAACCTACTCTTGGAGCTAAGAGTGTCGTCTTAAGTCCAGCACTGAGACCTCAATGTAAAGGTGGATGTAAAGGCGTCATAGCACAGGTGAATGCACTCTGTATTTCTTCATACTTCAATCAGGAAAGGAAACTATAAAACCACCCAAGGTGTAGGAAGGCTGGTTTCCACCTGTCAGCACTAGCTATAAATAAGGAAATGCAGGATGCTTTGGAGATTGTCTGTCATATAAATTACAAAATGGGGAAGAATGCAGGCATAGCTGGCCACATGGGTATGTCATAGCTGGGGCAATCCTTTACCCCAGAGCCAGCAGCCAAGAATTGTTTCTCTAATCCCATTTATATATCTTCCAGTGCCATCGGTTTCCTCACTCAGCTGCTTGAGATCTTTCTTGCTCTGACCAGGTCATTCCTCTCTGCCCACAGGCAAGGGCCTCAATGGCTCAAAGCCCTGAACTTAGCATCTAAGACCATCTGAGGTCTGGTCCTGACCTACCTGTAGACACCTGCCTTTCTTGACTGTGTCCTTGTCTG